CTATTAGAACTAATAAGTGAATTTTATAAAGTTGCAGGATACAAAATCAACATACAAAATCAGTATTATTTCAATACACAAATAACAACCTAATTGAAAAATAAATGAAGAAAACAACTCTATTTCCAGTAGTCAAAAATTTAAAAAGTAATATACCTAGGATAAATTTAACCAAGGAAGTGAAAGATTTGTATGCCAAAACTAGAAAATATGAAAGAAATAAAGACAATACCAATAAATGGAAAGATATCCTATGTCCTGAATCAGAAGAATTACTATTGTTAAAATGTCCATACTAGCCAAAGAAATATATAGATCTAACACAATCCCTATCAAAATCTCAATGGCATTCTTCATAGAAATAGAAAAAAAATCTCCCAAAGTTTGTATGGAACCATAAAAGACCTTGAATAGCCAAAATAATTCTGAGAAAGAAAAAGTTTGAGACATCACACTTTCTGTTTTAAAATTATATTACAAAGCTATGTTAATCAAAACAGCACCACTGCTGGCATAAAGACAAACACTTAGGCCAGTGAAACATAGTAGAGAGCTTAGAAATTAATCCAGACACATATGATCAACTAATGTTTTTGTTTTGAAACAGGGTCTCACTCTGTCACCCAAGCTGAAGTGCAGTGGTGTGATCACAGCTCACTGTTCCTTTGACCTCCCGGGCTCAGGTGATCCTCCCACCTCAGCCTCTTGAGTAGCTGGGACTACAGGCATGTGCCACCACACCTGACTATTTTTTTAAATATATTTTTTTGTAGAGAGAGTTTTGCCATGTTGCCCAGGCTGGCCTGAAACTCCTGGACTCAAGTGATCCACCCACCTTGGCCTTTCAAACTGTTGGGATTGTAGGCATGAGCCACTGTGCCTGACCGTAGTCAACTAATTTTTGACAACCGCATCACAAGGACACAATAAGGAAAGGATAGTCTCTGAATAAGTGGTGCCGGTACCAATAAATGGTACTGGTATGGTAAATTAAACAAGATTTCCACATGCAAAAGAATGCAATTAAAACCTTATCTTACACCTTACAAAAAAAAAAAAAAAAATCAACCCAAAATTGGATAAAAGACCTAAATAGAAGACCAGAAACTACAAAACTTTCAGAAGAGAACATAGGGTAAAAGCTCCTGGAAATTGGCCTTGGCAATGATTTTTTTGGGTATCACACCAAAAGCTCAACCCACAAAAGCAAAAATAAATAAACAGAACAGCAGTAAACTTAAAAACTTCTACACAGCAAAGGAAACAATTGATAAAATGAAAAGACAGCCCACAGATTGGGAAAAATATTTGCAACCGTATGTCTGATAAAGGGTTAATATCTACGGCTTATAAACAACTCATACAACCCAACAGTGGGGAAAAATAACCTGATAAAAAATTTTCAAAAGACCGGAATAGACATTTCTCTAAAGAAGACATAAAAATGGTCAACAGTATATGAAAAGGTTCTCAACATCATTAATCATCAAAAAATGTAAATTAAAACTAACATGAGATACAACCTCACACTCCTTAGGATGGCCATTACCAAAAAGACAAAAGGTAACAAATGTTGACCACGGTGTGGAGAAAAGGGAACCTAGGACAGTGTTGCTGAGAATGTGGATTGGTATAGACATTATAAAAAACAGTATGGAGATTTCTAAAGAAATTAAAAATACAGCTACCATACGACCCAGCAATCTCTCTTCTGGGCTTATACCCAAAGGAAATGAAATCTTCATCTGGTAAAGATATCTGCACTCCCATGTCCATTGCTGCATTATTCACAATAGCTGAGGTAGGGAAACAACCTAAGTGCCCATTGACAGACGGATGGATAAGGAAGCTGTGGTAAATACGTACAATGGAATTTTCCTGAGCCCAGAAAAAAAACAAGATCCTGCCATTTGCCATGCATGGATGAGCCTGGAGGATATTAGCTAAGTGACATAAGCCAGAAACAGAGAGAAAAATATTGCATTTTCTCGCAGATGTGTAATATTTTTAAAAAAATACAAAATACAGAGATGCAAACAAAATGGTGGTTATAGGGGCAATTAAATGGGGAGATGTCAGCCAGAGGATACAAAGTAGCAGATATGTAGGATGGAAAGTCTGGAGATCTAATGTACAACATGAGGACTATAGGTAATAAAATTGTATTCTATGTAGGATTCATGCTAAATGAGTAGATTTTAATTGTTGTTGCCACAAAAACAAACAAACAAAAAACGGTTACCAGGTGAGATAAAGGATAAGTGAATTTGTTTCACTATAATAACCTTTTTACTATCTTTATGTATCCCTTAACATCATGTTATATACTTTAAATATACACAATAAAATTTATTTTTCTGAAAAAATGCTGTTGAAAGGTTTCATTTAGCATCCAACTCATTCAGGTTTAAATGAACAAAAAATTGTCATGTACAAATCAGGAGAAACATACAGGAATTTTAAAGGCATTAGGGAATTTAAATGTCATCTAAATAATCTTTTTCAAAGCTTAACCCATTTATACATCTAACATATCTAAACTATAGTCAAAAGCTCAAAGTTTCTTGCATAATTGAGAATGCCCTGAATATATTTTGTTTTATTTATTATGCTTATTACAAGCTTTTCACAACAGCCTAACCACATATTTCTTAACAATTTTCTGAACACTTTGTTATTTTATTATGACCTTATTTTCCACAATTAGGGTAAACATCACTTCCTTTGCACTTGGCTGGTGTCTGCGTACTGTACCTGCCAGCTACACTTCAAAACACATAAATGGCATTTGGTAAAACTTATTTCAACTTCCACATTAGACAGAAGGCAACATTCCAGTTACATCAGACTGAAAATAGCTAATCACTAGGCAGAAGAAGCTTATTTTAAAATCAAATGTGACTATGATTTTTTTAAAAGTCCTTTTACAACGATGCAGTGCTACCGTGATGTGATATTTGGCTATCAACCCCTTACATTTTATTAAATTTGATTCTTGTTATTTCATGCTTCTTGAAGGGATCAGAGTACAGTAATGAAACCCACAAAACTAAGGGGGGAAAAGGAATGGGAATAATAAAAAAATTACAGCAGCCATAATATTCACAAGCTACATACTCAAACTATCTATTGCCATAGATTTTGGAAGTGCAGGCTTCGATTATGGGTGAGAAGAATGGTATTTCACATGAGTACACAGTAACTTTTTCATTTTTTCTCTAGGTTATATAATTCTAACCTTAACATTTGCTTTATTAGAATCATATAAACAGATATTAGTGATATAACTAAAATAAAATGAGTCAAAGAGAAAGACCATAAAACAGATACTTTTCATTTGATTCAGACTCAGACCCAAGTCTAAGGACAGCAAATTGCTCTTTACTGACTATATTGATGTCTTTATTGGAAACACTATTCTCCTTTAATATTCCTCATCTTGCCTGGAGTCACAGTCATTTACCTGGACATCCAAACAAGTGGACCATTAATTCTTTTCTTGTCCCACAGATGATCAATCATTCAATGAAGTTCAAGAACTACAGCTAAATCCATCTCTTCCTCTCCACCCCATTCCATAGCTTCAGTTCAGGTCTTCACAATCTCCTTCCCGGACCTTCAGTATGACCTCTAAACTGGTCTACCTGTCTGCACTCTTGCCCTAATCCCCATCCTCATTCACATCTCTGTGACTTTTCCAAATCTTCAGAACTCTTCAATCTAATTAAAATTTTTTATTGACTTTCCACCTCCTCCAAAGTAAATTTCCAGGTGTTTACCTTGGATTATGAGACTCCTAGCCCACCAGCTCTACCATATCCTCTTCCCAGAATTGCAGTCTTGTGAAAGACTTGCAATCTCGAACATATATTGAGACAATACATTCTTAGAGGACAAAAGTCATGTTTTATTTATATTTTTATCCCCTATTAGTAATGAGTGCTGTTTCACATTTCTACCTTCCCCCACCACTCACATGCTATTTTCTCTGTCTTTTTTTTTTGAACTGGTGAGCTTTTATTCCTCAAAATTGTAATCATGTCACTTTCTTAATAAAATCTCCTGACACAACCCTTCAAAAAGTTTAGTGTTCCCTGATCTTGTACAAATTTATTTTGGTGCAGTTCACACTATATAATAACTACTTGTTTCCATGTCTATCTCCCCTTTTAAAGTGTGGGCATCCCAAAGACAAATAGTTTATCTTAAAATCTGTATACATTTAGGGATCTAGAACAGTTTCTGAAACATTATTTTAATGTGGTAGCTACTATTCTAAGGACTTTTTCATGATCTTATTTAACAAAATAAATTCACAAGAAATATTGATTAAGTAAAGTTAAAAGCATAAAGACAGTTACAGAAAAATTTCACTGAAAGATATCATAATATTGAATCTTATTTAAGAATTCATACAGTAAAGTAAATAAACAACAACTTTCAGTTGGAAAAAGATAAATGGTGTAAGATATTTTTGAGTAATGGAGGTAAAGCACCAGTGGGGTCATGTGAGTCAAATGTAAGTGAAGGATGCTCATGGGTGATGGAATCTTACTAAGTGCAATTCACCATTTTTGATTTCATTGGGAGGTGCTAGTAAATGAAAAGAGCCATGATCAGGTCTTCAAAAGTAATGTTGCTACTTTTACAACGTGCCATTAAGAAATTGTTAAGGTTACTTAAAAAGTAGTTATATTAAAATCTAAAAGCCAGTCTTTGTGTTTCACTACCAAAGTTTTAAATTGCCAATAAGCCGGATAAAATACAGTGGGAAGATATCCTCACTTGAATGTCAACATCAGCAGCACTTTATCTAAAACTCATTCTGTGATTGGGGTTTTAGGGGGGATATGCAAATTAAAACCTACTGTTCTTTTCAAAGTCTAAGTTGCTCACTGTTATTTAGAAGTATAAACTATTTTCATAGAGGAACATAGTAAGTAAACATAGTTGAACTATAATGAATTTTTATTGTCTCTATTTTCTTTCTATTATCACAGACCTGTTGAATTTTCAGAAGCTGAATTCTCACGACTTGAATATCAAAGAAAACAGCAATTTTGGGACTCAGTACGGCTAGTTCTTTTCACATTGGCAATTGTAGCAATCATAGGAATTGCAATTGGTATTGTTACTCATTTTGTTGTTGAGGGTAAGTATCCAGGTCATAGTTCCATTGCCTAAGTACTCCATGACTTCATATCTTGAAATTTTCTGTTATATAAAAAGTGACATTTGCATGATATTAACATTTTAATTACCAGTCTTTTACTGATGTTAAATTATAGTTTGCCTCTGTATTGAGCTCTGTGTTACATATTTCCACCCAGTTAACTTTATAATAAGCATTGCATTGATAGACATATCTAAAAGAAACACATAAAAAAGAGAAAGAAGAATGAAAAGATCATCTTTAGCATAACGACAAATTACATAATATGCTGAGAGTTTAGTATACTCTTCTCAGAATCAGTATATTAATGAGTTGCCTCAAGAAAAACTCAGAATATAAGAAGAGTTATCTGAAAAATACTTTTAAAGGGCTACATATCAAGCATTATTTTTGAAAAAAAAAAAAACTTTTTTTATGACTATGGGAAGAAGGAAAAGCTCAGAATTAATTCCTAATTATATATGCAAAAATGGAGAGTCAGTATCATAGTCAGTATAGCAGCAGTAGACAACTAATACAGAGGCTAACACCCAAGGATTTGAGTGTTCTATCTCCAAGACTTTCCTGACTGCAGATAATTGAAAAGTTGCCTGACTGCAGATGGACATTTAGGAAAAGAGGGGAGAAGGCAGACCATGACAAAAGTTAAACAAGTAGAATGGGATAAAATAGAGGTACATAAGATGATGCGGTTTTTAAAACGAACATACCTATTTTTCTAACAGAAGGAATTCAGTGAAGGAAATTACATTCTAGTAACCTGGGTAACAACAGGAGACAAATTATTTCTAAAATACTACTTTTATAGATTGTACATGAATAGATCTGAAAGACAGTGGAGTAAAAATTATCAATAATTGTGAAATAATCACAATAGAAATAAGGATTTTAGCAGACATAGTGGTAAAAGTCACATCACCAGGATGGAAGTGTATTTGATGGAGTTATTTTTATTCTAAAGATCTCAGTAGTTACAAATGATCGGCTTTCAGTGTATTATAATTCTGACCAATTATCTACTGTTTTTTAAAATGGGCAATTTTAAAATAAGAATTAATAAAATCAGTGACTTTTGAATATGGTTGATTTATCAGTGCCCTTCAGCCAGAGATCATAGGAATACATCTTCAGATATATACAGGTGAAAAAGAACATAGGCTGTGGAGAACCACAGACTGCATAGTAAAAGATTGTTTAAACAAATGCACTATAAGATTTTGGCTTATCTTAGGTGATTCAGGGGGAGGGTTGAAGGAACTGGATCTTTTCTCTGAACTGGATTTTATCTGATTGCTATCAGAAACCTGGAATAATGCTATGATCGAGTATCTTACTAAATCCTATTTAGAAGGTTAACAGTGAAGTGAGGCTAAAGCTGTAATTTGGTAGAGAAACAGTAGTCACTCCTATCACTCCTATTGGCTAAAATAGGGAGATGATCCATTTTTGTTTTGTTTTATTGTTTTAGATAGTGTTCTTGTCTTTGTCTGAGTTCAGACATAATATGGAATGGTCTTTTTTTTTTTTTTTTTTGAGCGAAGTTTTTTTTTTTTTTTTTTTTTTTTTTGGTCTTCATTGATTATGGTCACATTATGGCTTTGTCTGATGTTGATGTTCAATGGAAATACCAAAACTTAGCTCATGGATATTAGGAACTACCTTTTCCTTCTCAGGTTTTATATTTACAACTCCATAAAATTTTTCTATGCTACTTGAGTATCATTTTTTAAAAAATTACTGTGCTATTAATTGACTATTAAATGCTTGATAGAATTCATGTCTCTATTTATTACTTGACATGATGAAAAGACTTTTAGATTAATGTGTGCTTATTATCCTCAGGATTTCCATTTGGATTCTTATTGATTATTTCCTCAGGGAAAGAAAATGTCTTAAAATGAAATCCTATTTGAATATTAAATTAATATAACAGCATTTTACATATTTTTTTGAGACTTGCATCTCTTCAACATTGTTGCAAGCATCATCTGCCTTGTTGAAGGTAGCTTTAGTCTGTTTTTTTTTTTTAAATTACTGACTGATATTCATTATCTTAAATATTCCATAATTTACTTGTCATTCAAATACTTAGACATTTGGGTTGTTCCAGGTTTTAGTCATTAAAGCAATACTGCTGTAAATCTTTTTATACGTAGATCTTGTTACACACATCCAAGAGTTTGTCTAGGAACTATGCAGATACAGAATCACTGGGTCATTGGACATATGCTTTTTTTTTTTTTTTGAAATGGAATCGTGCTCTGTCACCCAGGCTGTCCTGCAATGGTGCAGTCTTGGCTCACTGCAACCTCTGCCTCCCAGGTTCAAGCAATTCTTCTGCCTCAGTCTCCTGAGTAGCTGGGATTACAGGCACCCTCCACTACGCCCAGATAATTTTTGTGTTTTTAGTACAGACAGGGTTTCACCATGTTGGTGAGGCTGGTCTCGAACTCCTGACCTCGTGATCTGCCCGCCTTGGCCTCCCAAATTGCTGGGATTACAGGAGTGAGCCATCGCTCCTGGCCAGGGCACGTGCTTTTTTATCATCATGGATAATACCAAACAGTTTTCTACCAGCACTGCATCTCAGTTCCCATTGCTCCATATCCTCACCAACATTTACTGTTGCCATAACTTTTTATATTTGCTAATTTGGTGTAGGTTATAGCATTATCATCGTAATCTTAATTTGCATTTGTCTGTTCTACAATGATGTTGAGGACCTGTCCATGTCTCAGTCGGTCATTTGGATTTTCTGCTATTGTGAAGTGCCTTTTTAAGTCATTTTCCCGTTTTGTATTGAGTCATCTGTTTTTTCTTTTTGATTTCAAATAGCTCTCTCTGGATATATATATTCATTGTCAGTTGTATGTATTAGAAATATCCTTTGCTAGTGAAAAAATTATACACACACATATATAGACACAAATCTTATATATAATACATATTATGTGTTACACATATTATATACATATATTTTTATGTCTTATAAAGATGTATGTATATAATACTGCCTTCATAACTGTGTAAAGCTCTTTTGAGATTAGTGAAGAAAATAATATTCACTACCATTCACATGAAATACGACCCTAACTTAAAAAATTCAAACACTGAATTTGCCAGTTGTCTCAGGATTTTCTGTGTTTGTTGTTATTTTTGTTGTTTAGTTACTGGAATTATATAGTAAATTATATTTTCAACAAGCATTTTCATGTCCCAGATACATTTTTTCAGGATTTTTTAGAATCAATTATACCACTTGTTATGGGGTAAAAACAAATATGCTTTATAGACTTGCATGAAATATTTTAAAGATTTTAGTATTTAGAATTATGTTTTAACAAAATCCAGAAACCGAATTATCTAAAGCTGTTTTTTAAGTTTGGTTTCTTGAAAACCTAAAGAGTAAAATTTGCATTGAGATAGCATCACTTGTCTTCCTGTTCTGAGAAGTGTATCCACTTCCAGGAATGTAGGGATTTTGTTTTCCCATAAAATGTTATTCTCCCATGAAATCCCAAGAGCCAAGCATACCTTGGTTTTAATCTCAGGTTCACCATAAATTAGTTAGGTGATCTTTAGCAAACTTCTTTTCTACTTCGCTAAGCTTCAGTACTGTTATGTAAAGCGGTTTACTATTATTTTTAATTCAGAAAATTGTTGTGATGATTAAACTAGCTTTGTGTTGTCACACACTCTCTGGTATATAGTAATTTCTTACAAATATTTGCCATTATTAAATTGGATTTCTACAATGGCTTCCTAATTGATCTTTTATAAAAACTTATTTAATGTTGAATTTCTTCACTGGTGAAATGAGCTGAGCATGTAATATTCAATAAATGGCAAATATCATATTCTCTGCATATAATGACAGTTCAGTAAAGGAAAGGTATTATTATTTATTAATACAAAAGTTCAACATTAACATAATTGCTATAGTATAGTGACTAATATAGTTATGCTTCACATATAACATATTTTTAGCACTTTTAAAAGCACTTAAAGTATATATTAAAATCACTTTTACTTCTACGTGATTCCAGAATATGCTTTTGCTTAACAGGGAAATTCTTAAAGACAATATAGGGATATGTGTATGATAATGAGTAAAATAGCTCTGTCACTCTGAGATCAATCTTCATTTTAATCTTTTTTTGTAATAAAACTTTAATTGTGAAATCTTTTCAAGAAGTGCCTTGAGAGGTAGCTTGAATTCATTAAATTTAATAAGATAATCTATGTGAGAGCCAATTAGACAGAGTTTAGTGTATGTTAGGAACTTGGTAAATATTGATTAATTCATCCACTCATCCATCAGTAAAAAAAAAAGAAGTAAAAATTGTCAGCAAAATAGCAAAATAGATTGTAAACTGTTGTGGTAAAATGTCACCTTATTCATATTTCTTGACATCTCATTTTGAATGAACAAAATGTACTTTTTTAAAGAAGATAATGCTCAGAATAAATTTTGTAAGTGGAACAAAAAAGATACAAAATTGTGGTGATAAGCTATCTCAGTCAAATAAAACAATTATTTTAACAGAATAAATAAAAACCAAAATTATAACATCAATTACTTCTAGATATTACAGTTACAGATTTTTATTCTCTTGTATATAATTTTCTGGTCATTCCAGATTTTCTGATATAGCATTTATGATCTAAAAAATGTTTTTAAATGAATATTTGTTTTTGACATTTAAAAAAATTTAAATGAATATTTAAATGTTTTAAACATTTAAAATATGTTTTAAAATGAATGTTTAAAATGCGGTAAGAAATTGGAGATTTGGCCGGGTATGGTGGCTCTCACCTGTATTCCCAGTACTTTGGAAGGCTGAGGCTGGTGGATCACTTGAGGTCAGGAGTTCGAGACCAGCCTGGCCAACATGGTGAACTCATTCTCTACTAAAAATACAAAGATTAGCTGGGCGTGGTGGCATGCCCCTGTAATCCCAGCTACTCAGGAAGCTGAGGCAAGAGAATCACTTGAACCTAGGAGATGGAGGTTGCAGTGAGCTGGAATTGTGCCACTGCACTCCAGCCTGGGCAACAGAGTGAGACTCCATCTCGAGAAAAAAAAAAAAAAAGAGAGGGAGAGAGAGATTAGAGATTAAATGGGTTATAGTTACAGGATTTAAAGACTGAAAAATTAATTGGATATTGGAAATCAGGATGAAACCAAGCCATGGGTAACCATATGGATGTTAGAGCTGTTCACAAAGATATAAAATATAGGAAGTAGAGGAGGTTTAAGTAAATAAGGAAGTAAATGATCATTTCACTTTGGAAATATATTAGAGGTGCCTATTTAATGTGCAATAAACAGTCTCCTAAAGTCAGTTGATAGAGAATTGAAACTCATGACAAAGATTTGGTCTGAAGATAAAGAATTTGAGTCTTCAATAATTAGTTAGTGGGTAAGGCCATCCCAGTTAAGATTACCAAAAAATACTTAATATGACCGAATCTTTGAATGCCAACGAGAAGGGTGGAAATAAAGAGCTCACCAAGATAACTGGGATGTATGGCCAGGGAGGGAAGAAGAAAACTAGAAGATGGCTTCATAAAACCAAAGATAGGTTTTCAGGGAACATGATGAAGGCTACAAGGAAATCAAGGAGTAAAACAAACAAACGAAACCATGAAAGACATTACAACGGTTGTCCTTGACAAAGACAGCTTTAGTGGTGTGGTAGGAACAGATTGCAGAGAATTAGGGAGTGAATGGGAAAAAAAGAAGGTGAAAACAATAAATATGGACTTCTACTTAAGTAAGCTTAGCAGTAGCATAAAAAATTTTTACAGCTTGTTCAGTGTATCTTCATAATACAGTTTATGTCTGATATACCTGTTAGCAATTCCTTGAGGGAACTGATGACATTTACATGACTTTCAGCAATTGCTTTCGCTATTATCTTTCCACTGTGTGTTGCATGTCCAATTTTATGAATATTTTGATATGCATAAATATCTATAAATGGAGTGTTCTATATGAGTACTTTGGGATCAGAATTTTTCATTTTAACTGGCGGCAGTTGTGAAATTACAAAATATTTGAGAAGTGTCTGCAAGAATTTTTGCACTAAGTAGAAATAATATGCATTATAGTAGCCTATCTATTAGATGTGGGCAAGCCATAGGGGACAAAACAACTTACTACCTTTAACCATGAGACTTTTGCTTGTTTTACCTTTTAGATGATAAATCTTTCTATTACCTTGCCTCCTTTAAAGTCACAAATATCAAATACAAACAAAATTATGGCATGAGATCTTCAAGAGAGTTTATAGAAAGGAGTCATCAGATTGAAAGGATGGTAAGCTCAATAGAAATTTTAAATGTTTTTTAATGTGTCTTTTGCATCACTTTGAATGTGGGTGTTATATAGGAACTTAGTCCCAATTTCTTCTTTTGTAAAATGGAGATAATATAGTATGTAAGTCATGTAGTTGTAAAGATTAAATTACTTAATATGTGTAAAATATTCAGTGTACTGTGTGCACCATCAAATGTATATAGTAGATTAGAGTAGTCAACTAATTAACTCCTGAGAAATTGTTGGTTGAAACAAATGTTTCCCTATTTTTAATTCTTGATTTTATATTTTTCGATTCATTTTCTTTATTCTTTTTTAACATAAGAATATAGAGTTGCCACAATCAGCTTACCAATTTGTTTATTTTGAAAGCACTTGAAAATTATATAAAAGCACATGGTATGTCTATAATTTTTGATATTAATCTTAAATCTGGTTATGACTCACATGTTTTGTTTTATTATAGCTTATGTATTTATCAAGTTATTTCTAATTTTTTAAGTATATTGGGTGAGCCATCTCCTTAACTGTTGTAGCAGAAAGTCAAAGAGAATAGTCTTCCATTTTTTGTCCCATGAAAAGCATGGTTATGGAGATCATAGATTTGTTTAGGAAAATTCAGTGTATTAGCTTGGATTGTAGTCTTTTAAACTTATAAGAGTTACTCTAGAACCAAGAATTAATGGCCAAATAGGAAGAGCACTATGTTAATATGATTCTTTATGATTAGCTTTAGACACTAATCTCCTTTAGTAAAAGATGAGAACTTTGACATTCCCATTCTTCCATCACTATACTATCCTCTCTCTGTATTATTCACAATGTGAGAAAATATTTACAATTTATCCTGTTATTTACATAAGTTGATTCTAAATGTTGAAAAGCAATAAGAGCATTTCCCTTTCCATAGCTTTTTAAATAGTATTTTTGTTTTTTACAATTATTACCACAGTTCTTATGCCATTCAAATAATGTTCCCAGAATTAAGTATGAATATATTTTCTCTCTCTTTCGTGTGTGTGTAACCCCTCTACCATTTTACTGTATTATCTGACATTTCCAAGGTCTTGGTATTTCTTTAAATCTTCTTTTCTAGAACCTTATGTTTCCTCCTCAGTTTCAACTAGTTGTGCTGTAGGTGCACTTTACAAAGGTAAACCTAACCAGGACAGGACTGCACCCTTTTGTGAGATCCATTGCTTCTTGCATCCCATGTTTTCATTGATATAGTAAGATATGTCCTCAAGTACCTTTTCTAAGAAAAAGTTCATGGTATGTAAAATTTATGAATTATTTTATACTGAAAAAAAATCCTGTATTCTATATTTCACTCAGTTGAAAGTTTGGATGCACAACTTTAAGTTGAAAATCATTTCCCTAACAGTGCATGCAATGTGATGCCTCTGCCTTTTTTCTTTTTGCTTATGATTGCTTTGGTGATTTGGGCCCTTTTTGGTTCTCTATAAGTTTCAGAATTTTTTTTTCTAATTCTGTAAAAAGTAATCTTGGTACTTTGATAGAAATAGTGTTAAATCTCTAAATTGCTTTTGGCAGTATGGTCATTTTAATGGGATTGATTCTTCCAATCCATGATCATGTCTATGAGACAACCTTTGTTTTGTCTCTGATTTCTTTCAGTAGTGTTTTGTATTTCTCCTTGTAGAGATCATTTACCTCTTCAATTAGATGTATTCCGAGGTATTTTATTCTTTTTGTGGCTATTGTAGATGGGATTGCATCTTGATTTTGCTGTCAGCTTGAACATTATTGGTGTTTTCCAATGCTAGTAATTGTTTTATGTTGATTTTTTGTATCTTGAAACTTTAATGAAGTTTATCAATTCTGGGAGCTTTTTTTGTGAAGTCTTTGTTTTCTATACATAGAATCATATCATTTGTGAAGAGAGATTGTTTAACTACTTCTTTTTCTATTTGGACGCCTTTTACTTTTTTCTGTTGCCTCATTACTCTGCGTAGGACTTCTAGTACTATGTTGAATAGAAGTGGAGAGGGTGGGCATCCTTGTTGTGTTCCAGTTCTCAAGGGGAATGGTTCCAACTTTTGCCCATTCAGTGTGATATTGGCTGTGGGTTTGTCATAGATGGATCTTATTATTTTGATATATGTTCCTTCAATGCCTAGTTTGTTGAGGGTTTTTATCATGAAAGGATATTGGATTTTATCAAAAGCTTTTTCTGCATCTATTGGGATGATCATTCTGTTTTTAATTCTGTTCATATGGCGAATCACATTTATTGATTTGAGTATGTTGAGCCACTTGCATCCCAGGAATAAAGGCTACTTGATTGTGACAAATTCACTTTTTGTGCAGTTAGATTTGGTTTGCTGGTATTTGGTTGAGGATTTTTGCGTCTATGATTATAAGGAGTATTGACCTGATATTTTCTTTTTTTCATGTGTCTCTGTCAAATTTTGGCATCAGAATGTTGCTAGCTTTGTAGAATGAGTTAAGGAGGACTCCTTTCTTCCTGATTTTTTGGGAATAGTTTTAGTAGGGCTGGTACCCATTATTCTGTGTATGTCTGGTAGAATTTGGCTGTGAATTCATCTGGTCCAGGGATTTTGTTGGTTTGTAGGTTTTTTATTACTGATTTAGTTTCAGAACTCGTTATTGGTCTGCTCAAGTTTTCAGTTTCTACTTGGTTCAGTCAGGGAGGTTATATGTTACCAATAATTTATCTATTTCCTCTAGATTTTCTAATTTACATGCATAAGTGTTCATAATAGACTATCTTTTGTATTTCTGTGGGTTTGGTTGTAATGTCAACTTTGTTATTTCCAATTGTACTTATACGGATTGTCTCTCTTTTTTTCTAATTTAGATAGCTATCAGTCTTGTTTATTCTTTCAATAAACCAAAAATTTGGTTTTGTTCATCTTTTTTTTACAGACTTTTGTATCTCAATTTAGTTTCATTCCGCTCTGATTTTAATTGTCTTTTATTTTGCTAGCTTCAGTGTTGGTTTGTTGTTGTTTTTCTAGTTTCTCTATGTGCATTGTTAGATTGCTAATTTTAGATCTTTCTAACTTATTGATGTAGGTGTTTAGTGCTCTAGACATTCCTCTTAACAGTGCTTTGGCTGCATCCTAAAGATGTTGATGTCTTGTGCCTTTACTGTCCCTAATTTCAAAGAAATGTTTGATTTTTGCCTTAAATTTGTTGTTTACCCAAAAGTAATTCAGGAGCAAGTTGTTTAATTTCCATGTAGTTGTGTTGTTTTGAGATATCTTCTTGGTAATAACTTCTATTCTTATTGTGCTGTGGTATGAGAGTGTGCTTGCTGTGATTTTTTAAAATTTATTGAGGCTTGCTTTGTGGGCAAATATTTGATTTATCTTGTAGTATATTCCACATGCAGATAAGACGAGTATGTATTCTGTGGTTGTTAGGTGTATTATTCTGTAGATGTTTGTTAGGTCAAGTTGGTCAAGTGTCAAGTTTATGTCCACAATTTCTTTGTTAGTTTTCTGCCTCAATGATCTGTGTAATGCTATCAGTGGGACTGTTGATGTTTCCCACCCTAATTGTGTAGCTATCCAAGTCTTCGTAGGTCTAGAAGAACTTGTTTTATGAATCCGAGTGCTCCAATGTTGGGTACATATATATTTTGGATGGCTGAGTCTTTTTGTTGAATTGATCCTTTTATCATTATGTAATGGCCTTCTTTTTCCTTCTTTACCATTCTTGCTCCTTTTTGTTTTCTGTTTGCATGACAGATCTTTCTCCATCCCTTTACTTTGAGCCTATGGGTGTCACTACATGTGAGATGGTTCTTTTGAAGGCAACAGATTGTAGACTCTTGTGTTTTTATCCACCTTGCCACTCTATGCCTTTTAAGTGGGACATTGAGACCATTGACATTTAAGTTACTATTGATATATGATATTTTGTTCCTGTCATGTTGTTAGCTGATTGTTTTGTAGATAATTGTATAGTGGCTTTATGGTGTCTGTGGGCTATGTACTTAAATGTGTTTCTGTGGTAGCTGGTATTGTTCCTTCATTTTGACATTTAACATACTCTTAAAGACCTCTTGTAAGACTGGTAATGGCAACGAAATCCCTTAGCTTTTGTTTATCTGAAAATGATTTCATTTCTCCTTTACTTATGAAGCTTAATTTGGCGGGGAATGAAGTTCTTGGTTAGAATTTCTTTTCTTTAAGCATGCTGAGAATAGGTCCCCAGTCTCTTCTGGCTTATAAAGTTTCTGCTGAGATAGCCTGATGAGGTTCCATTTGTAAGTGACCTGACCTGTGTCTGTAGCTACCTTTACATTTTTTTTTCTTTTGCAGTGACCTTGGTGAATCTGATGACTGTATACCTTGAGGATAGTTGTCTTATATTGCCTCTTGTAGGGGTTCTTTGAATTTCTTGAATTTGCATGCCAACTTCTCTAGTGACATTGGGGAAGTTTTTGTGGATCGTGTGCTTAAATATGTTTTCCAAGTTGTTCCTGTCTCTTCTTGTCTATCTAGAATGACAGTGGATCATAGCTTTAGTCTCTTTACATAATCTCATATTTCTTAGAGGTTTTGTTCTTTTTTAAAAATTCTTTTTTCTTTACTTTTGCTTAAGTTGATTTAAAGAACTGGTCTTCGAGCTCTGAGATTCTTTCCTTAGCTTGATCTATTCTGTTGTTAATGCTTCCAACTGTATTATAAAATTCCTGTAGTAAATTTTTCAATTCTAGGAATTTAGTTTGGTCCTTTCTCAGCAAGTGGCTATGTCATCTTTCACCTCTTGGATCATATTACTGGGCTTGTGGGATTGGATTTCAACTTTCTCCTGAATCTCAATGAGTATCCTTGCTATCTAGATTCTAAATTCTATATCTGTAGTTTTAGTCATTTCAATCTGGTTCAGAAACATTGTGGGGGAGGTAAAGTGATTGTTTGCAGGCAAGGAGACAGTCTGACTTTTTGAATTGCCAGAGTTCTTGCACCTATTCTTTTTCATATGAGAGGTCTCATATTCCTTTA